CCCAGTCTTCGAACACCCGAACCGTTTTGAGAGCCCCCCCAAAGTGTGCAAATAATATCAACGTCCAATCTGGTGACGCTCAATCCCTGTCAGCCACAAAACTCAATTTTGTCAGCTCATGCATGTATTTTTTTTTTTTCGATTTGTGCCACATACATAACCGTTGGCGACCACGAGCCATGGTACCGGAAGGGCACCATTTGGTCAGCCAACATGGGCTGGAGAAATTGTCAGCTAAGTTAAAGAATCAAAGAAATTCTGTGCGCGAGAACAAGGTGACATTCTATGACTAACACGTGAGACCACCCGAACGCGCAATCCGATTAAGCTATCGAGTTAAGCGTTACACATCGAGGTAGCTAAAAGGCGATTATGTAGCGTCTAACAACAACACCCGATAGGATTATTACCGATGTTAATCGAGTGCATTACGGACGGAGCGATGCTGCGTGCGTGTGTCGCGTGCGGTGCCGTGTCGTTCGTGCGTGCGTGTTGGCGGTGCGTGTGCACGTATCGCTGCAGTGCGTCGTAGGCGGGCACGAATGCTGCTGCAGGCGAGTACACTGGTGCGTGCCATTGAGTGTTCACGTCACATACCGTGGCGAGTGTCATCTGGAGTGCAAGTCTCACGTCAACTAGCTCGAGCGATTGGCAGCATCTGCGGGAGAGAGTCGTAGCGCTTGTGCGACGGTAACAACATGAAGTGCGTCGCCATCGGCGTCGCGTGCGTGCATTCGCAGTGCACACGTACAAGCACAGTGTGCTCGCGTGCGACAGCGATTCCAATAAGCTGTGTGCATGTGCCCTCCATGCTATCTGATTAGGCAGTATACTCTGGTAGTCGTTACGTGTCGCGCTATTAGCCTGGAAGTGTGCGTGCGTGGGCTGCAGTGTGCCACAAGTACACTATCATTGTGCGGCTTGCCAGTCGCGTGCGGAGGCGTTGTGGTAAATCGTACAAATAGGAGAAATTCTGAATGGATTAATGCACACTATTATTTTCAGTGCTTCATGGCTTGCGTCAGCGTTGCACTCACAGCTGTGTGGCATCTCGCGTTACGTGGTGCGTTAATTATGGTCAAGAGTGCAGGTAATACAACAAATAGAAAAAGGCTCTACCGTGCAAAGTGTTGCACGTTATAATAAAGTCTGGTCTTCACAGAACACAGAGTAGGAAATTTAAGATTATTAACAATTAACGCGGCGCTTACTGTTAAGGATCGGCCATCTTCAAGCTCAGCGAGTAGACTCCCCTAGAGTCAATGGTAGAGAATACAGAGCCATCTTTATTCCTCTGTCCTTACCCACGAGAGCCGGTTCATTGCGTCGTCTAGGTCATGGGGTGTGTCACCGATGGGGGGCGGTGGGCCCGGGGGTGACTGTCTTATCCAGATAGCCGACTTACAGGATTCACAAAGCACAGTTCGGAGCGAAATGCGTCGTCGCAAATAGTCGCACAGTACATTGGCGGCATGGCGTGATAAAGCTAGTGCGAGCGCACTGAAACATGCGAGTAGTCTAAGCGCAAACGAACGCAGTGAGGTTCACTGTCCATAACAACAGTCGGTCTGGAATAACTAGGCGTGCGGGTAGCGAGAGTGTCTTGGACAACTGGTACCGACACGGCATCGTGGTGGAACCTTTCATTATTGTTTTTTATCGCATTTTAGCCAATGATTTCTATAAGATTAAAGTCTTACTGTGGATGTATCAATAAGGTTATAAGCAAGGCTGAGCGAACAGAAGAACGCGCGTGCGAACGGCATGCGTTGCCAAGCTTTGTAAAAACATAATATTTATAGTATAGTGCGATCCAGGCATAACATCCGTCATGATAACATATTTTTATATCGAGCGCGGACACAGGACGGTACGGATTTGTTCCGTAGAGTGGTGCATACAGGCCACTAAGAGAGTAATAACCAGAATACATACAAACACAAGCCACAATGAGATCCGTTTGCACCGCGTGTGCTCGCGGCGGTTGGTGAGTCGTGTGTGCATGTGCCACGTCTAGAGCGTGCGTCTCGCGCTGCGTGCGGTGTGTACCTAACACTGCGTGATGGCGTCTGCGTGCTAAGCGTGCGCTACAGTACACCTGCGTGCATAGTGTCGACAGTGCGGCAGTGTGCACGTACAGTGCGTGCGTGCATGTGCACGGTACACGTGCGTGCCGCGCGGTGTGCCTAGGTCACACCGTGCGTGCATCGCTGCGTAGGCCGATCCCGCGTGTGTGCCCACAGTGCCGTCAGTGCACGCGGCACCGCTTTGCGTGCGTGCGTGGTGAGTGTGCTGCGGTGGCATGTGCACGGTAGACGATGCGTGCGTGCGTCCGTGCTGCTACCTAACACGTGCGTGCATGCGTGGTGTTGCAGCTACACGTGCGTGCATCGTGTGAGGCGTGCGTGTGCAACGTACAGTGGGCGTGCGTGCATGTGTCACCGTCGTGCGCGCGTGTGCAGGTACAGACGTGCGTGCATGCGTCGCGTCGCGTGCGTCCGCCCTGTTGTTGTGCACGTACACGTGCGTGCGTTCGCGGTGTGTGCCGTGCTGCATGTGCACGTAGACGTGGGCGGTGGCGTGGCGTGCGTGTGCATACACGTGCGTGCAGTGCGTGCGTGCTGCAGTGTGTACCTACAACGTGCGTGCATGCCGTGCTGTGCACGTGAACACTGCGTGCATTGCCGTGCGTGCGTCCGTCGTGTGTGCACCGGTAACACGGCGTGCGTGTCGTGTGTCGTGCTGTGTCCGCGTGTGATGCGCAGCGTGGTGCAGCGTACACCGTTGTGGTGTTCCGTGCGTAACTTGTGCACGCGTACACGTCTGGTGCATGTGTTGGCGTGTCGTGCGTAGCGTGGCGTGGCATCCATGTGACCACGTAGAGGCGGCATGAGCTAGTGTGCGTCGCGGTGCAATACACGGTGCGTGCGTGCGTGCGTGCCGTAAACGTAGATCGTACTAAGGTTCCGCCATCGTGGAGTTATGGTACTACGCATAACTCGAGTTAAGCGTCTATACGGGCCTTAACTCGAGTTAAGGTAACGCGAAGTTGCCGTATAACACTCGATCGACCTGCGAGGTTAAGCTAAGCTCGAGGTTACACGCTAACGCTCCGACGTTACCTTAACTCGAGTAAGGCCCCGTGTAACGCTTACACTCGAGTTAACGCGTTCGTCCCGTGTAACGAGGCTAATGTGTTTACGTGTTTAATTTCTCAATTTTGTACTCCATCTAGCTGTGACTTGACACAGTGTCTATAATGTTCGTCAATGTTAGTAGGTTAGTTTAAACTTAACTGTAAAATGTATGAAATGAAATTTCATGCAACTTTTAATTACTATTATTATATGTCATTGATCCCCAGCATCATTTACCACATTGCCAATATTTTATTCTCTTCATATAATGAGTGAAACAATGCGAATGGCCATGTCTGCTGTCACTGCAATACGTACAAAATGTACGTGATTAGGCCTTTTGCTTTACAGCACTGAGCATCACGTGAGCAGAGCGCATGCAGCACATGTTTAAATTAACTAATATCCGGACAATCAAAACTCTTGAGGGACAACCATATGCTACTCTCTTGGTTGTCCTCCGGACAACCCAAAAAAAACCTTAAAATTGAGCACTGCGCCGTCTTCGATATAGTTCCAATTATATTCTTTGTCTCTGTCAAAATATATTTGTTGTCTATATATTGTCTGTTCAATATATATTCTTTGTTTCTGCCATTCCATATTGGAATTCTCTTCCTTTCTCATTAGTTAATTGCAAATTTGAAGCTTTTTCTACTGCAATATGCAGTGTTGATTTGTCTATTTTTCAACTTTATCTCTTTCTGTCTTTGATATAGTCCGCCCTTGACGTTGAAGACTAATTATTATGTTATGCGGTTATGAGTTTATTGTACATGGTGACTGGCGCTCGCGTCGCTGGGTAAAGAGCATATAGAAATAATTAATAATGGTTAGGATACCTAGGATATGTCTCTATATATTTCTATGATAAAAAGTAATCAAAATTAAATTATAAATTTATGCGGTAAAATTAGGCGTAACAAGGGTTATGATTGGCTAAAAGGGGTACAATTTTACCGCGGCAAAAATCAGCAGCCGAAGCGTCGGCGCTGGGCGTCCGGTAACCGGACGCGTAATGACTGCAGAAAAATAATTGTTTCCGAATACGCTGGCCAACCGTAAGCGACAGCAGACAGCATTTTGTCGTGTAATTTTGTCTGTTTATTTTGTTTGGTGTGTTTAGGGAAGCTTAATAATTAGAAAGCACAATGCCAAAGAAAGATACAGCGACATCAGTGGAGCTTGGGATTCTGTCTAAAAGAGCAGAAATGTTTAGATCAAAACTGATTGAAGATTTCCACTTGCTGGATAGTTTAGATGATCACGGTAAAATGGAAGGGCCAAAACATTACTCACGAGATATTACAGGTGTGTACATTTTGTCTTTACAGTTTACATACTGTAAATTAACCAGAGCTTTAGAATCTATGCGCGTGTACACTAGGCCTAATACAGCTTAATTACATGATAAGGATCGTACCAGTGTAATGAAACAACTTCAGTTTGTTAGAACCTGGCCACCTTGCCATATTGCATTTGTCATCCTCCACTCCAGACTAGTGACAGTGTGTTAGAAACATATGTTACATGATGTTATGTGGAATCCTAAATATATAAATATTATGTATATTCACAAAGTTGCTTAAATTTATTATAATCCACAGAAGATAAATTGGCAAGAAAAATAATGAAGGATTCACCACATGGCCTTGTCAAGTTTCAAGTGTACTCCAGTCGCGATAAAGACAGCGTGACACACAATGACCGACGCAAGAACAGGGTGAAGAATAAAAATGCTCGATTTCCACCCATTGACTTATGGGCTCACTGGGTGCTTAACAGTAAGGTTAATTGTTAATAAACTTAAATTTTCACGGTGAAGACTTTTTAAATAATTAACGTAAGACTTTTTAATTAATTACCATATTAACAGTAAGAGAATAATTAGGCCATAATTCATCAGAATTTCTATATTCCATTTCTGAACATAAATATATGGCTATAGTATAAGCTATACAGTATACTGCTAATCAAATAGCTGGAATGAATCGTATTATTAGCTCATCTGACATAGTCAGATGCAGCTTGTAGAATCGCACGATCGTCCGTCGTCCTCTTGCCGGCCGAGCGTTTGTGGTCTCTTTTTTGCGAATCGATTGGGCACATAATCTTAAACCGCGTCTGATCGTACGTTCACGATAGTTTGGTGCAGCATTTGGGGGGATCTGTTCAAATCGAGTTGGGGCTTGTCGTATTAGCTTGGGGTCAATTAGGCTATAGGTTCAAAAGGTGCCAAAGAAGGGGAAACATTCACTCTTAAACTAAGGTATAGGAGGAAATTGCAGAGAATTGGGCACAAATCTAAACTGCTCCGACTAGGCTTCGGATAAGTCGCTGTATAGCATCATGGTAGGTAAAAGCCATCACTGCCGAAATTGGAGTCACAGTCAAGAGGTCAATGGGCACAGGGCAATTTTAGAGCATTTTCTGAGACACATGGTCGGACGGAGGCGATTGAAAAAATTTTTTGTTTTCAGCGTCGACCTAGCATTTTATGCATTATGGAAGGACCAATGAAATCTACTTTCTGCTGACATGCGAAGAGTAATTGTCAGATAACCTTTTGACCCTCAAGAGGTTTAAACACTGGATTTGTGAATGGTCTGTTAGAAAGAATTTCGACCTGGTTTTCAGTAGCGATCTTATACATGCTGGATTAGAGGCTACAATTCACATGTTGAAATGTTCAAAAGTCTAAATTTGGTTAAAGAAGGTTTATGCTCCCTTAAATCGTATAATTTATATGGCATTCTGTACTGTCAGTATGTTTCCATGTAACGTATCCACTGCCAGTGGCATACTGCCAGAATTGCATGTTGTAGGTAACTGTGGAGTTTTTGCTTAATTGTTAAGTGGCAGTCTCTCTATGCGCAGCCTGTAGCTTGCGCTAGGTAATGGATGAGTGCCTACCTATACTGTCTTGCAATATTGTTGCTAGCTGACGTTATGATGGGAGCTTCATCTTAAATCTGAGACACTAACGACATGCGCATCTCGTGCACTTTCTCCCAACGATTCCCCCAACGAACCATTCTTTTGAGAAGTTCCTGGATACCATCCCTGTGCATTCCACTGTTTCGCGTGTATGTGAACCTACATTTGGGACTAATCAGGGTTTACTAGAATCCCACCACTCCACCACAGAGTCACCGCAGTAGACGTTAGATGAGCGCTGTCGCTCTGCGGCACTTGTCTAGTTTTGCAGGATGACCTGCACCTGGGTGGATTATTATAGTGAGAAGGGTGTGTGCACTCCCCAGTCCCACTCTCTCGTCCAATACAGTGTACTAGTATTAGCATTACACTTATTATGACCAATTAGTATTACAGTATTAGTGTACTAATTGACTAATAGCGTATATTTTCAACAGGAAAATACCTCTGCGAGATATATTCTGCATAATTTGTTTTTGCATTTCAATTCATATAGCTATAATCTAGACTATTATATATAGCTATTGCAGTTAGTTGCATACGGATGAATAAGTATATTGCCTAATATACGTGGTGATTGTTATGCCATTACGATAAATAATTCACTTCTCTAAAAGGCTTTAGCCGTTGGCAATTTGATTCCAGAATTTATTGTGTCAATATATCTATCCCAAAAATTGCAGTGTTGCAGAGTTCTATCAATAAAACTTTTAGTGCCCATGCATGACTTAATTCAATTCCGTGAAGTTAAATTTAATATCTCTTATAATAGGAATACTCATATCGACAGGACCACTAGAGCGCAAGTGCTGTTAGTGTTAGGATGATACTCATTAGTCATATGGCTAAAATATAATACATTACCAATGAATTCTCACATGTGCATTTATTTATCTAACAGGTACATGGTTTAAGAATTCGATGCTGATAATCATTCTTAGTAATTCCATTGCTCTTGGGATTCAAGCAGGTATGAGCATATAAGATTTAAATCTTGCTAACACCAGTCTAGAAAAGAACACAAAATTTGAATCAGTAATGAGTATAATTTATCATAAATTATTTATCATAAATATTTATCATAAATTATTTATTATAAATTATAAATTATTTATCATAAATTAAAATTACTTATATTTATTTATCATCGTGAAATTCGATGAACTTATTCGAAGATTGAATAGCTTTTTTAATAACAAATAATTTGTGCTAATTTTTTTTATCTAGTCAATCATTTTATCCACAGAGGTCTCTACGAGTGACAATCCTGTTGTGGCCCCGCTGCAGCTTGCTCTCGACATCTTCGACTACTGCTCACTGATCATTTTCATCCTTGAGATTAAGTTGAAATGGCTAGACAACTTTTGGGGATTCTGGGGAAACGGCTGGAACATCTTTGACTTCTGCGTCACTTACTTTGTGAGCAGATTTGGTGCTTGTTAAAAAGCCAGTTTGTAAACAGCACCAGTGACACTGGTCCTTCCAATATGGTGGGCACAGTGCAAGTGTGCAGCAGCTGTAAGAATGTCAGAGGTCACCTTTATTTATGCATAACTTATTTCTGAATGGATGATAATATTATAATCAATTATACTCATATATGAGTGTCAATGAACGTATATACCAAAACTGTACTTTGTAGCTATGTGTTTGTACCACAGAGATATAGTTCACTGTATAACTGCCACCCAAGAGAAATAGCAAAATTAAGTGCCCTTTCTATGCAGGTGTCCTTTCTATAGAAGTGACCACTGCAAGCAATGGCTCTTATATGTATCAGACTTGATGCATCATGAATCCATGCATGCACATGTTCGTTACTGGCTCGTTTGATTACATCGAAGACTGTTAATTGGTAGTATGCATTATGCGTATGCATTATGTGTCTATCACCTTTCGTTTTGCCACAGTCATTTGTACCAGAGATCATGAGCTACTCTTCAGGAACGTTTGGCCAGCCTGGCAGCTCGGGTCTAGCTGTGGTGGCCAACAACATGCGTGTGTTCCGAATCTTGCGCTCTCTCAAGATGGTAACTCGCTTCAGGCAGATTCGACTCATTGCCCTCGCAATAACGAAGGCGTTTAAGGTACAGAATGTCGACTCAGTTGCCAGTAAATATTAGCCTGAGTTTTGTGTAATCTACCGCGTTAATTTTGCACTCAGGTTTAAGGCATTCTGACCAATATATGCTATATATGTTGAGTTTTGTAAGATATAGTATTATTAGGTATGTATGAAATGGGTAAATTGACCTGAGCACACTACCATAGGGGTATCCCTCGTGTTACACAGGAATATCAAAACCTTTGATCCAACCTGGAATCTAAACCCATAGGCGAGGCTCATATGGTTATATAGTGTTGAGATTATGAATCTAATGCACCTTTTTCCAAAGTGAATACCTTTGGGTGATCTCGTGGAACTAGAGACCCCTATATTGGAACACAGGGGTGTTGTGGTTTTGTGTCTCAAGAAATGTATGCTTGCAGGTTTGCGTGGATCTTGCATTTGTGAACTGTTGGTGTTGGACTGTAGGAGCTTGTGTTTAATCTTGCTGAGCTTTCTGAGAGTCATAGTTGTCCTTTAATGGTCAGGTCTCTGCTCAGGTGGTTTCCCTGTATAAATGTCATTCAAGGGAACCACCAAAATTGTCCTTTATAGACAGGTATTCATTCCATACAGGTGGCCACTATTATAAGTTTGGCTCGTAGGGTCTATGTCCCCCTGACCTCTGTTTGACCTGGCTTGTTTAGCTATTTCTGACTAACCCTAACCCTAACCGTATATATGTTATATATTATATATATATATATCTATGTTAGTCAGAAATAGCTAAACGAGCTAGGTCAAACAGAGGTCAGGGGGACATAGACCTTATCTGCATAAGTTTGACTGCATAGTGATCGTGATAGCCTGTAGCCGATACTTGTATGTGCTTCACTCTACAGGAGATGGTCTTTATCACATTACTACTCTTCACATTTGCCTATATCTTTGCCATCGCTGGCATCATCTTCTTCGATGACTTCACCAATTCAAAGAGAACTGACCTTATTTACAAGGATAGCTTCAGGTTTGATTACGCATGTACATGAGGGTGTAGGGGGTGAGTGCTTGTTAGAGTTATTCTAGGTTGTTGGCATATTGGTGGGTCGGGTGTAGCTTCAATAAGGTACTGTCCACGATTACAGCTATATAACTGAACAACTATTGCAGTATACTCTTCTAATGTGAATACCCATGTTTCCCACGTAATCTAACTAGAAGTGAATGCTTTAATTGCTGTATTCCTAAGGTTACATGTTACATTATCTCACCAATGTAGATTTATTTCAGCACCTTGCCCAAAGCCTTGGCCACCCTATTCCAACTATTTACACTGGATCATTGGTACGCTATACGCGCTGACATGGTCAAGGTGGTTAGTCCCTGGTTCACCGGGGCATATATCATCCTCTGGATCTGCATTGGATCATTCATCTTTCGTAACATCTTCGTCGGAATTATGGGTTAGTAAAATTTCCAGCCTTACTTGTTGGGGTTGAACTAAGGATTGGATTTAATTCAAAATTTAACCCAGGATTTAACTCGTGTTTTTTATGATAAATAAAATCCGACGATATTTTTCAAAGGCGCATGACAACACGTGGTGAAGCGATAGCATAGAGCTAAGGACCAGTGCTCCTGGTCTCCAGTGACAATTGTGTCAAACTCTTATTTGGATTTCTTTATTCTGCATACACAAGTTGTTGCTCCTCGTGGATTTTTTGCAGTGAACAACTTCCAGAGCATCAGAAATGAGCTGTTTGAGGAGGTGACCGAATTTGAGAACACACGACAGTTGCAGATCAAGACGGCCATGTTTAACGCAGAGCTCACCAAGCAGGGAGACAGTACGCCTGGGTATGAGCCATGCTCTGCTGATTAGTCCCTTGTCCTCTTATTGGTCTTGATATGAGGAAGCCCATCCAGAGATTCTGGTTCTGTCTTGCTTGGTGCATGCCATCAATCAGTGTTCTAGTCTTGGTGGGAGCCCACGCCATCATCATTTTTACGATTTAGGAAGATTGAATCACTTCACTTATCCGTGTTGCAACCTTGCTATAAAATCCTTCCGGCGCCTTCATACGCATAGCGTATAGCTACAGGCGCATAGGGCGGTGCCTATCTCCGTTTCAGTAACCCTGAGGCCCCGCAGCTGCTTTCACAGTAAATGCTACAGTAGGGGGTTAGTCCCCTGTAGCACTGCGAGTTAACTTGCCACACTCTATCTCTATTTGCTGAATGCTAAGCAGAGAAGCCGTGTGTACTATTTTTCAAGTCTTTGGTATGACCCGGCCGGGAGTTAAACCCCCGACCTTCCACATACGAGGCGATACCTTGCCTCATCCCACCAACCTTGCTATACTAATGCTAAATTACTAATGCCCATGCAATTTAGTAAACAAGTACAAATTATTGTGCGATCTTGAATTGGCCAAGGAGTTGTGGATATATCCAATCAAAGACTGAACACAAGACGGGGAAAACACTGACTAGCAACAGCAGGCGTACTCTATGGGAGTATTCCTGATACCCCCCCCCCCACACACACACACTCTCCCTCCATCCCTCCGTCCCTCCCTCCCTGCCCCCCCCCCTCTATCGGATGAGCACTGTCAGTCTGCAAAACTAGTTTACATGGTCTTAACTTTATCTGTTTCTGTGTGAACAAAAAAAATAATCAAGTGGTCAGCTATAGTCAATGACCAATTACTGCTATGTTTGTTCAGTGGGAGCTCATCTGCATCAAAAGTCAATTCTCAGTCCAATGAACAGGGAAAAGATACTGCAGAGCATGGAGCAAATGAAACGTGAGTTTGTAATCATGTTTGTAGTAAAACAGAAACTAACAGAAAGTTGTAAAACTGCAGCTAGCATTAATGTCTAAAATTAGCTGAATTTTATCACTTGGTGTAATATCTGATATCTTTCATATGTGTTCCTCTGTTACATATTTGCTCAAATCTGCGATAGAAACTACACGACATTCAGGGGTGAATAATTGCGATTAAACCTTGAGATCTCAGTAGCATCTTCTGTGTGCTTAGTCTGATTGGAACCACTATGAGCACGGTTGCTATTTTAGCGATACAGGCGGGAAGACCAGGGAGAGAGCATCAATTCCTGGAGCTGAGCCGAACATCGGGTTGGTACTAAAAATGGCTTCGTGCCGCTAAAGCGCAATGGCTTATGTCATTCCCAATTACTGGCGACCACTCCCCTAGTGGTATTATACACTGTACTCATAAAACCTGATCCTGCTAAATCCTATGTAGCAGTCAGAATTGAGTAAAACTAATTTCCTACAAAGTATAGATTAATCCATTGTATCTATATCCAAGCATCGAGAGTAATAAAGAATTTATGTGTGCCCATCATCAACCACACTAAAGTGGATAGATTGTGTCTTGTGTGTACACTCTAGCTGGTGAGATTTATAGTAATAACATTACATTTGTTTGCTGTAGCCCTGTGAAATCAGGTCTCTTCAAACCTGATATCCAACGGCAAATAAGCCAGCACATTGTCAAGGACACGGATAGCAGTGCACGTGAGTTTTTCTATTGTCTTCCTTCTTCTCTGCCCCCTGCTTCCCTTATTTTTGCCTGCTTCCATGTTAAGTCACTGTGTAGAAGTATCTTTATGCAAAGGGGAACACACTAAGGGCGAAGGCACACAAAATTGTCTGGGATCAGGTATATTCACTGCCTTTTTTCCTAGGAAATATAGCTTGTCAGCCAATAATCATAAACAGCTTGTATTTATCACTCCTAATTTGTTTGCGGCTGATACCTATAATGACTGAATGATTCAATGGCTGGCAGCCATATTATCAGATATATATATCTAGGCACAAATATCGAGTTGGGTTTTCTTTCTGGTTATATGGGAGTGATACTTGCTTTCACGGTTACTTTTCTATTAGCTATGCCATTTGCTTGCAATCCAACTCATTTATTTATGTATATTTAGTAGGATTAACTGTGATTTTGTTACAAATTATGTGCAGATTGGGACACGCTAGTTCAGGAAAACATCGACACAATCTCTAGAAATCCGTCTGAGACACTGTGGCCGCGAGACACCCTGTTCAAGTATCTGCAACTGATGGAAGCCCTACAAGACAACCTGGAGGAACGCATGCGTCTGGAGAAAATCATCTGTAAGCACACATTACACATGCTTTTTATTACATTACTTTACTTTACATTTACTTTTCATGCATACAGTCATTGTTTACAACTGAACCTGTCTATAAAGACTTCTCAAGGGAAATTGCCGAAACTGGCTTTTATAGACAAGATGTCTGTTCCATAGATTAGGTTGCAATGTCTTGCTGTCACTTATAAATTCTCTATATATGTTGTACTACATCCAGTGGTCTTGAACTGGTACTGGTTCCTTCAATTCATAAAAAAATCACTGATATATATCATAGATGATGTGAGAATGGCTTCACAAATATTATAGTACATAAGTGTAACATCACAAAGATGTTTTACCTACTGCATATGACACCACAATGATGACATGTACTTGTATTAGTATTGAGTTCAAAAATCTGTTCGTCTCTATATGTGTGGCTAGCCAGAAAAGCTATCACGTTTAACGTGTAGGGTGTGCAATGTGCTGTGTGCGCTGTAAATCTTAGAAGGGTAATATTTCACGATAACTTATCGTGAATTTGTTGTTTATTATTTTGGCAGGTGAGATTCTACTGCAGGTACATGACACCTGAAGCCAAGTTTGGGAGTTTGCCTGTTCCTCTTTCTCCCTGCTTGATGAAATCTTTTATAAAGCGTTTGATTTTAATATATTAAACTGAAGTAATTATTATATTAATTTTTCTTTTCAACTTTTAATGGCCTTGTTAGTGGTTAATAGAATTACTCTTTCAATATCAATTTGTCACTGTCGTATATACAAACGTTTTGTTGTAATTTCTTTTATTCGTTAATATATTTTGTATTATACATTCAACTGTAAGAATATTAACTTGAGTGAAAGTTGCTACAATATTAATCGAATGTATTGTAAATGTAAATAAATACTCTAATAATTTATATATATGTATACTGTAATAACCTGCTACAGCAAACTATATTATCACGAAGTTCTCTGCGATAAAATTATACAAGTATATAATTTGCGATATGAAGAGAGAGAGAGAGAGAGAGAGAGAGAGAGAGAGAGAGAGAGAGAGAGAGAGAGAGAGAGGAGGAGGGAGGGAGGGAGGGAAGTTGGAGAAGGGAGGGGAGGAGGCGAAGATGATGGGTAGGGGCGAGTGCGGGTGAGAAGGTGTTTGAGTAGGAGAGGGGAGGAGGAGACCGGAAGAAGGTGTTGGACGATCA